GGTCAGCGCGAGGGCCAGGCCGGCGCAGAAGCGAAGGATGGGGCGGGTGCGTGTCACGGGTGCAGCATACGGGCCGCGGCCAGTCGCTTCATTCGACCTTGAACTCGAACTCCTGCTCGAAGGTGTGGTCCCCCGCGCATTCATAGCCGGCCAGCGCCTGCACCACCAGGCCGCGGAAGAAGGCGCCGGCCTCTTCCTTCTTGTCGCCTCTGATGGACAGCACGTCCACATCGGCGACTTCCACGATGCCGCCACGCGTGAGGACGACCGCCTTGAGCAGCACTTTGCCCGTCCAGTAGATCGTGCGCGGCAGCTGCGGCTTGGGCATCTTGTCGCAGCTCATCTCATGGATCTGCAGCAACGGCGACAGCTTGGCCAGGCTCCGGTCGCCGTTGTCCTGGACGAAGCGCATGTCCTTGGGCGGCGAGGCCGGGAGGCTGTTGACGGACTCCCGCGCCATCTTGTTGAAGTCGACCTGCTTGGCGACCGCGTGGTTGACGAGCGTGGGCATCAGCCCGCCCTCGGCGAGGGCCAGCGCCTGGCGCAGCTCGGGCGAGCTGTTGGGGCAGCGGGCCAGCCAGGCCTGCTTGCCGGCGTCCAGCGTGGCTTCGGCCCCGGCCGCTTCCAGCGCCCGGATGATGGTGCCGATGGCGGCCCCTTGGGTCTTCAGCAGATGGCCCATGCGCAGCAGGTAGGGCGGCAGCAGCGCATAGCGTTCGCGGGTCAGCGCGCCGGGCTGGCAGGCGGCCAGTGTGAGCGTCGGCGCGAAGCTGGCCACCATCCAGGCGGTTTCGCCGCGCTTGTCGGGCGAGTTGATGCTCAGCCTCACGCTGGGGTCGGCGAGCAGCGCTTCCACGACCTGGGCGTAGCCGCCGCTGGCCGCCAGCATCAGCGGCGTGCGGCCGTGCATGTCCCGCTCGGTCAGCGACAGATGGCCTTCGGCACGGCGGATCAACGCGGTGATCTGCGCCGCCACGGCGCGTTCCACGTCTTCGGGCGACTTGTTGGGCTCGGGCCGTTCGAGGGCGCGGCGGACCTGCGGGCCCAACTGGTCGATCAGCTGCCGCGGCGTGCGCGCCGGTTCGGCATGCGCGGTCTGCAAGCCGAGGCACAGGCCCAGCAGGGCGGCGGCGGTGCGCATCAGGCGATAGGCTTGGGGCATGGTGGGCGAGCGTGCAACGGGGTTGGGCCGCATCAGCTGACCTTGAACTGGAACTCCTGCGAGAAATAGGCGTCGCCCACGCATTTGTACTGGGCCAACGCACGCAGGATGGACCCGCGCATGATGTCGGCAACGACGGCATCGCCCTTGTGGGTCTGCACGTCGATTTCGGCCAGTTCCACGATGCCGGCGCGTGTGAACACGGTCGCCCTGAACAGCAGGGTGCCGGTCCAGCTGTTGATCCTCGGCACGCCAGGTTTGGCCATGAAGACACATTGCAGGCCGCTCATCTGCAGCAACTGATCGAGCTTCCTCGCCTCGCGGTCCTTTTTCTCGGGAATGAACCTCATGCCCTCGGGCGGCTTGGCGGGGACGCGCCGGTAGTTGTCGCTGATCGTCTTGTTGAACTCGCTCTGTCGCGTGATGGCGTCCTTGATCAGCGTGGCCGCCAGCTCGCCGTCGACGAGGGCCTGGCGCAGGTCAGGCGCCGCGTTCGGGCAGCGCGCCAGCCAGGCGCGCTTGGCGGCGTCGGGCTGGATGTCGGCGCCGGCGTCTTCCAGCGCCTGCACGGCGTCCTGCACGGCGGCGGCCTGGGTCTTCAGCAGGTACTGCATGCGGCGGAGGTAGGGCGGCAGCAGCGGCGCGCGGGACAGCGTGAGCATGCCGGGCTGGCAGGACACGAGCGTCAGCGACGGCGCGAAGCGGGCCACCATCCAGGGCGTCTCCCCGGCCCGGTTGGGTTCGTTGATGCGCAGCCGCACGCTCGGGTCCGCCAGCAGGGCCTGCACGACGAGGGGATAGGGGCCGGCCGCCGCGAGGCTCAGCGGCGTGTTGCCGCTGGCGTCGGTGGCCGTGAGC